GCTATTTGAAATCAGCATGTAGATTTCAAATTTTCCTGAGGCTTTCCAAAACGACTCTTCGAGCACAGGTGTCACTCTCCTGCTTGAGATGTAGTCACCAGGTGGGAATGTCCTTTGGAAAGCATTACCTGGGCTGGGTATGCAGCACCATCTGAAACTCAGACCCCTTTGATGAATCTCAGGATAGGCCCCCCAAATTGCTGGCATTCCTTCAAGGAAAGTTGATACCTGTCTGTTTAGTGCCTGCGTGTGTGTATTGACTTTAAATACAAACAAACGAATATACCTGTGTCTGTATGAGGAGGGATCAGTGGGTGTAGGCAGACACACGCAGCATTTTGGAGTCATCCAGCATGGGTGCTGTGGCACAGCTGCTTCTGGAGAGTGTGTGTTTACACGTTGAGGCCAAGGAGCCTGGGTAGTACTTTTATCTCTGGCATCAGTCTGCCAGATGGGTTGGCTTGGACCTGTCTTTCTCCCACTGAGTTTCAGTGCTCCCCTTTATAACTTCTTTTTGTGCACTTCTTTTTGATCTGCTGTTCAAGTGTGACTATGTGAAACTCAGTAATTGTTATCATGTGACTTTTTCTACTATATTTACATGTGGATGGTTAGTCAATAAATCAGTCTGAAATTGATGATCAATAGTTACTGCTAGCTTATATTCCTGAGCACTACAAAACAACAAATAGTTCAGGAATTGTTAGTATATTGTAATAGGCAATTATTTGCTAATGCAGCTAGATCAAGCACTTGTCTGACCTGCACTGAGGCTGAACTTGGCATCAGCTGCAGGCTCCTCTCACCAAACTTTGCATATGTTACTGTCAGTTTAGTCTGCTTCTACTGCAGATGAGAAAAGGCAAAAACCCTTGGGAGTACACTTCTTTCCTCCTTCTTTAAGAACAAAATATCCTCCACTGTCTCTCCCTGGACTGCTTGCCTGACTTACACTGAACTCCCAACTTGTAATGAACCAATGTAGGTGACAGACATCTTATGCACTTAACTACAGCACATTTGATATCTGGCAGATCTAGAAATATTTTCTGAGAAGGTAAAGCCGTTAAAGTAACCTTGGTTAGAAATAATGCTAAAACTTGAGGGTCATAAAAATGGTGTTAGGTATCTCATTTAGCAGTAAACTTACTTCATGATGATATGAGAAAAAGTATGAAAGAGATACTGGACTGTATAAAGAAACATTAAAGGTTTGGTGAAGTACTGTTGGTAGTTTGAAGAATTATGTCAAAAGAGTCTTTTGATTTAATCTGTGGCTGAAATAGGTTTCTGTGAGGTTTCTCATCATAATTAAAGACATGATCTGTTGTCACCAGTACTTTCCTGGGGCTTTCCTAGAAAAAGCTAAGGCCCCAGAAAAGTCTGGAGTGACCCATTTAAAACCATTCTGGTTTTGGGTTTTTTTTCCAGTAATTTGTATAAAGCAAAACTCTGAAAAAATTCTGAAATGTCCATGTGAAGTTAGTGCTTCTCTCTGCCCCTGTGACCTTACCTCACATTGCCAAGCAGAATCCCATTTTCCAGAGTAGAGGGAGAGGTGGCATTGGCTTGGATGTTTAGAAACTGGTTTATAGAATAACTCTAAAGTTACCCTTTGATGAGTGGGAGATTTGAGGTACGCCATATGATTACAGTGACATTTGCTAGCATGTTCCACGGAACTGGTCACCAGTCTTACTGAAATATTTTTTTCTCAGTGGTATTCACACTGTTCTTCCACTCATTTCTTTGGTAGCTTGTGCCCTTCATTAATAGCTAACAAGGTGATGTTCAGTCATGCAGAATTCCTGTCCCCACTGAAATCCAAAGCAAAACTCACAGAGAATTCAGTGAAACAATCAGCTTGAGAATCTTTTTATTCTATGCTCTCCTTTGCTTGTTTAAATACTCCTAATTTCCATGCTGGAAATGGACCATCTTTTTTACCAATGCTACAAACAGTACATGGCTTTTCGTTTCATGAAGCAATATATGTTATCCTATGTCCAAGGAAGATATTTTTGCATTTATCACCCATGACCCATCCATTCATTTCTGAAAGAACAGCATCTCTCATTGAGACCCAAGATGATCAAATGGATTTGGACAGATTTTGTATTAAGTTTCTACTGACAGAGCCTTGGAGGTTCAAGACAAGGCCTACATATTCTAATGAAACTGCAGGTATACAAAACCTGAAGTTATACCATGGACTGAAATATAGTTGCTTGCCCATAGCAACTGAAACAGTTGCAAAAGGTCCTTCTACCACCTAAGAATTTGTTTTATGAAAGTAATTATTTCTGAAAGCTGGAACTGAGAAGAATGGGATAAGTTTTTAAGATAAAACTGCCAGATGTGCTAAGTGGTCAGATAGGAACTACTGGACATGGGGGATTCCCAAGCCTTGTCATCACTGAGAGACTTGCTCCCTGTATTTCCCAGCAATCACTGTGAGATTGACAGTTACAATGATAATGTAAAAAACAGTAAGGTCTTAAAAATCTGGGGGATTGGGTGTCCCAGATTTGTGTCACTGCTAACAAAAAAGCTGCATCTCACTTGAGAACCTACACAGCATGCTGGTATGGCTGTCTCCCGCATATTAAGAGAATATTACAGTAATTTAGTTAGAAGACAGAAAACTGCAGTGAGCTCTTTCATGCCCATTCTCACAGAGCTGCTTCTCTGCATTGTATGTACAGAGGTGCAGGTATCTCATAGTCCCAAATGGACACAAGCAGCTTTGCCAAAAACACTCACACAGCTGTGTGAAGTGTAAAGGTCTACTCTACATTGGCCAGCAGAACTGTAGGTTTTTAAAGCAGATAGCACTGGAAGATTTGCAGCTCCTGTGTGGACAATATCTGTTCTCAGCTCAGTGTGTACAAGAGTGCAGAATGCCATCTTAAAAGAGCAATTGGAAAAGAAAGGAAAATAGCAAACAGGAAAAGCACAGTTTGAGAACAAACCTGAGAAGGGGCCTCAGAGGACTGAGGAACTTTGTGGCTATGAAGGCATTGACTTCAGTGGGAATGAGGCTGAAGAATCACAGACCAGTGAGGGTTGGAAGGGACCCACAAAGACCTCCAGTCTGACCTCCTGAGGCAGATTGCATTGGAGCAGATTACACAGGGCCTTGCCCAGGCTGGGTTCTGACACCTTTAAGGATGATGATTCTCTGGGTGCCTCTTTCAATGTCCAGCCATCCCCATGGTATTTTTTTTCCTCACTTTGAGTGGGAATTTGATATTGTAGCTTGTTTTCCTTATTGTACACTGCAGTAAGACTTCCCTGTCAAGTCTTTTCTTCTTAAGAACAAATATAGTTCTCTCAGCCTCTGCTCATGTGTCCTGTGCTGTGGTCCCCTGACCAGCTTGGTAGCCCTGCATTGAATTCACCTTAATGTGTCTTTGTCTGTCTTGTACTAGGAGCCCAGAAGAGGCCACAATCCTCCAGGCATGCTCTCAGAAACAGAATGACAAAGAGCCATTTGCTCAAGCCTGCTGCCTACACTCCTGCTAATGCAGTCCAGCCTTTGACTGATCAGGGGTGCGCTGCTGATGTACTCATTTATTTATGTTGAAGTTCTGAGTTAGGACCCTCAGGACTTTTTCTGCAAAGTCAGTTTTAAGGTAGCAAGTTTTTGTCCAGCTTGTCCTGTTGCATGGGCTTTTTCCATCACAGACATGGGGCTTTTCGTCTGACTTCATGCTACTCCCTGAGCTTTGTCCCAGCCCACTTTTCCAGCCTGTCCAGCAGTGTATTGACTGTTCCCCTCAGTCAGGTGTTGGTGCAGACTTGCAGAGAGCATAAAGGAACGGTATGCCAGAGTTCATTGAAATAGGTAACTTCGTCTCACTGAAAAGTCTTCATGTCTTGTGAGCAGGATGTGAGGAGTTGCAAGCACAAACAGCTTCACGTTATGTGCGTATAAACAACTGGTAAAAATAACTCAAGGTCACTGCAGGTAGTTCTTTCCTGCAGAGTGAAGTCAGTACCACTTTATTATGAGTCTATCACTGGATAGAGTGTTAGAGGACAAAAATTTCAAAAATTATACACTTAGTACTGTGTTCCAGGATGGATCACACTGAAGTATATGGACTGGCTGGGGGGAAGTGGTGTATCATACATCTGAGACAGCTCAACCAGCTGAGGCAGTCTTTAACTGTAGAAGTAGATTTCACAATCTTAATATAGAAGAGGAGTTTATTTTCTTTTAGCTGGTCTCTCCATCACATGATTTCCAGTCTGATGTCACAGCTGCATGATTTGTGTAACATGTCCAGACTGTTCATTTTAGTGTTAATAGTTTCATTTTTGATACCTGTTGGTGTATTCACCAAGATTTTCACCTTTTGGATGTTGCCAGAACTGCCACATTTTTCCCCTACTGTACGTCCACGGCCACACTTCTCAGTATTTTCTTTCCTTTGGTGGAAGACTGTGGGAGCCCAGTAGCAATTCCCAAATCCCTAAAAAGTGATTAGCAGTTATTGTTCTCTAAGTGCTTAATAGGGAGATTAAGACAGGCCACCAGGTGTTTACACAATAACACTTGGTAGCGTGGAAATTCAGCTCTCACTATTACAAGGCGTAAGGAGGGTAAATACCTGCCCTTGGAGAAACCAGCAATTATTTTGATGCTTGTATTACACCTCATTTTCTCCAGCAGATTGTGCAGTTCTGTTATTTCTTAACTTTTCATTCCCTGATAGGGGTTTGTCTGTGTTTAAAGCAGCGGGATTGATCTGTAACCACGAGATCAGTTTCTGTTAAAAGTGTTTTTCTTGCACGATCAGTTGGCTGCAAAGCTGCATTTTTAGTCCATCCCTTTGTATCTAACATGGCATATTTGTATACAGCAACAATGGAAGGGAGCTATGCTTCACACTGAAGGTTTGAAATAAATTATAGTGAAATAGCTTAAGAACAGCACAAATGCTCTTCTGTAACAAATCGTATCATTCATGGTGTCTCTTTTTTTTCTATTGCAGGAGGTTGGAAGCATTATCGGAAAGGTCAGAAAATAACTTTATATTCATGTCAAACTATTGTATATCATTTCTCTTTTCTTAGCCCAGGCTAACGGGGTTTTTTTATGCTTCTTTAACAGAAAGGTGAGACGGTGAAGAAGATGAGGGAGGAGGTAAGAAAAGCTTTGATGTCTTCACTTGCCTTCCTTTCCAGCTCAGAGAACAGTGAGTTCAGCATATGCAGACCGATGCTGCCATCAAGTGGGCCGATCGTTTAACATCCCTGTTCTTTGCAAGCGGTGGGGTATAAACATGCTGGCCTAAATTAAACATCGTTGTTAATGTAACCTCCTTATCGCTGCAGCAGTCTGGAGCCCTTCATTCCCCTAGCGATGTGCCTGCTGCTGCCTTATCTCAGGAACAGCTCACAGCATGGTTCTGTGCATCAGACCCTCTGTATCTTTCATTAGCATACCAACATCAGTCCTGCACATGGCTTGGCCTCCTGGTAGAGTTTCCAAAAATCTGAAACCAAGCGTTAGACTGACACACGTCAAGTTTGAGGGTAGACACAAGCTTCAGCAGAGCTGGAGCCAGATGTGTGTAAGCCAGAGCATGTCTCTGCTATGTCTTGGCAAAGCCTTAGCTTTTCCTCATTTTGAAGCCGTGAGTAGGATGTGGGCAGGGTAGACCTGCACACCTGCCATTCACATCCTTTGAAAAGGCTGAAGACAAATAGGATTAAAACAGGGCACTGCATAAATCTCAGCCTCCCCAGTGTCTGCAGGCTTCTTTCTGTGCCACAGAACAAGCTGTGTTGTCTTCAGAGGAGTGTGTTCGGGTGGAGGCTACAGACCACACTGGTCCTGCAAGGCAGCACATCCTACCTGGAGATCCATGTAATTTTTCTGCTTTGAAGCAACTGCTAAAAGTATAAGTCAAAAGATAAATCCTACTGTTTTAAACTTTAGGAGTGCAGTGCATAGAGGATGCCTCAAGGAAAGTCAGTTTGCCTCTAGTAAAGCTGCAGTACATTACTGTGTCAGCTGCTTCGTTGTTTTCTACTCTGATAGAAGGTCTGTGGCAGGGAAATGTCAAAGTATTTTAGTAAAGAAAATTGCAGACATCCATCTTTAAATATACACAATAGGGATTTCATTGTCAGGCTGACTGAGTTCTGAGCTCCTTTTTGATGACATGTTTTCACCCATATTTTCACACGTTTTCTAAGACTTTAAAAAAAAAAAAAAAAAAAAGAAAAAATTTTCCAGTGTACTAGGTTAACATAATTCAACACATTTTAACGTAATTATTAATTATGATCATGAGCAGATATGTTTGTACATAAATTGTATGCACAGAAGGGAAGCCATCATTGGAGAGTGCTCCTGACTTCTGAGTAAAACATCTTAGAGAATACCTATGATGCTTGATCTGTCTTTCAAGATAAATATCAAATGTTCTTCTTCCAATCCTGAACCCCTGCTGTCATGTATATGTGGTCAGAAGACACTTTATTTTCTTGATTTTTTTTTTTTAATAATAGAATTGTATGTATCTTTATATCAGCACAGGACTAAGAGGCTGTATCTCCACATGATGATAACATGGTCACTCTTTAAATTACTACCTTTTTCAGTACTTCTTTAAAAGAAAAATGCAACTTTTATTTTGACTTCTCTGGCAGATGTGGCAGGGTGCATGCCATCTTTATGGTGTGAAATGTAGCTCTGTCTTTGGGAAATGTCAGAGACAATGTTGTCATTGAGGAAATGTCAGAGACAACTTCAGGCCTAAAGAAAAATACAGAACCCTCAGTTCTGTGCCCAGGTCTGTGGCAGGAAAATTTTTCTATCAGTAGTGTTGAGCCTTGGTTTTTTTCATGTTGTGTGGGGGTGCTGTGATATGAGGAAGCACAACCTCTTGCAGTAGAGCAGCAGCACGGGGTGGTTAAGGGCTGGGACACAGCACATCAGCAGCTGTGTGGTGACTCTGCAGGCAAAGGGCCAGACTAAGCCAGCTTGTCTCACATTTGCTTCAGGCCCTGATCCCCAAGAAGATCAGTGCCTGTGGGTGAGTTGAGGCTCCAGAGTCTTGTTAGGCTGCATTAACACATTTCCAGGACTGAAATCTCAGAGAACACATAGGGTGGCTCCTACCTGAACCGGATTTGATCATTACCTACATTAAAGAGCTTCTTAAATATGTATTTAAAAATATATAAATTTCTTAATATATAAAACCTCCTGGCTGAGACATTTTCTCTGCACTGCTACTGTGGCATGAAGAGCACCGAATATACTTGCGAACCAGCCTGGCTTCTCTTTGAGACTTCTGATTTTCTACCTCCATCCAACAGGCTCCTTGCCCTATGGACACAGTACTGTTGGTGTGTCCTGTACTACCACTAGTGCTTTAGAGGGATGCTCAGTGCATGTTGGCTGGCTGCCTTCACATGAGACACGTCTACAAGGAGCCTTCTCCACAGTGCAAAGCAAGGCCCCAGTAGAGAGGCAGAGAAGCCAAGCCCCACCTTTGGGGCTCCAAACCAGAGAGGTGCATCGCTCCTGGGAAATGCTGGTGCTCCCTGGAGACAACCATCTTCTCTTAAATTCTGCAGCTCCAGTCCTACTTAAGGTTAATCCTTCAAGCAGGAAGGAAAAAGACTTGATTATGCAATTATTTGCAACTTTGAGTTACAGAGGTGCTATTTGCATGCTGCAAAGAAGGCTGCAGAAGTATTTACCCAGACAGAATCCGGCTTCCCACAGTTACATGAATTTTTCCAATGTGATCAGTTTATGCTGAAATTATATGATGTTGGGGCTGCAGTTGTAGGGGAGGGAATTAGATGCCTCAAGGTATTCCTTCCCAAACTATATTCCTAATCCTACTTTGTTTGCTTCCTGGGAAGTATAACTTTGAAAAATATTTGTTCCTTTTGACAGAGTGGTGCTCGAATCAATATTTCAGAAGGCACTTGTCCAGAGAGAATTGTGACAATAACAGGCCCAACAGATGCAATTTTTAAAGCTTTCTCTATGATTGCACTAAAATTTGAAGAGGTAAGCAAATAATTTTTTTCTCTCTTCAAGTTGAAATACAAACACTGTTTGAATTTTCTCATGTTTGCTTTAATGTTAAATAGGATTTGTTTAATGTTCTATTTAATAGCAATGAAAGTGGTTATATTTTTATAAATGCTTTTGGCAGCAATGCTGAAGAAAAATAATGGGTCAATTTAGAAGATGTTTGATCATTTCTTTTGCTTTTTGGAGGCTTCAGGGAAAAGCAATTGCTTCTAGTAATGTGTGCTAATGGTAGGAAAAATGTCTTGGAAAAATTCTATTCCCATTGTGGGTTTGATTTGAAAAGAATAATTGCCTAACTTTTAACTCTGTTTCTGTATGAATCCAGTTGGTATTGATGTAAATGTTATATATGTCAAAATGAATATATAACTCATTTAACTAGAATTTTTTTTTTTATTTCAAAAACAAGCTATATGATTATCCATTACCACATTTAAGACTTGTCTTTTAAAACAAATTAAAGGCACTCAGAGTAAGTAAGGCAGGAGTTCAATTCACTGTAGACAAAGTGTTCTGTGCAGATATGTATCTAAATTGCTGAGATTTCCTTCAGTTTCGTGGACCAGCTACAATTAGATAGAGTCACCATTTTAATGAAAAGGCAGCAGAGTACAGAACATGAACCATGGTCACTCTGGAGAGGATTTAACTCCCTCTGCTTTTGAAAATCCTAATGGAGGAGCTTGCAGACAGGCAGACTGCGTCACCTGCAGCTGAAGCAAAGGGCATGGTCTCTCCAGAATGGATTAAATTAGAGGGATGTTAATCCCTTTCTTAAGAGTTCTTATTTCTCCAAGCCTGCAAGGTTAGTCTCCACATCTCCCCACAGCACAGGGAGATGGAGGAATTGATGAGAATTGTCAACATGTGCCTTTATTTACACATGGCAAATGTTCAAATTTAGAGCAACACGACTAGAGGAGAGCTCATAAGTCGCCAGATGCAGTTGTCTTCTAGAATCAACTGTGTGGCTTGGACTTGTAACTTCACAGCATGATCAGAAGCTAGTTAGATTTTTTCTATTTGCTGATACTGGGTCCACAACTTCAGGTCTCTTATGATTAGACACCTTCTTTTCGCTCCTCATCTGACTTTATTCATGAGCAGTTCATGCATCTTTGTTTCTATGCCAGCACTGGCCATTAATTTAGGTAATTCTTGCCTTTCCATCCCTGAGGATTCCCTTTCTAGATATATATTTAGAAAATTATTTTATCCCCACACACCTTTGCTTTTGCCAGAGAGAGTGATCCAAGCACAGTCTTTCAGAGGATGCATTCCCCACCCCTCTCATGAGTCTAGTAGTCCCTTTCCACCTTTTTCCAGTTACATTTTATCTTGAATGTCTGTGTTAATTGTGGACAGGTTGCAAATGAAGTTCCACAAAGGCTTATTTAACAGCTTTACAGTCCCCTGTCCTGCTTATCACGCTGTCATATCCCTGCCACTGCTGAAAATGCCTCACCTCCTACTGGTTTAATGCTTCACACACAGCCATGCTTTGCCTGGTGGGTGACCCCAGCTCCTGCTCAGGTGTTTCCACCTCTTCAGTCTTGGCAAACATTCCTGTAAGGCTCCAGACAAATTACCTTTTTTTTTTCATACTGCAGGTGTTAATCCTATATATATTTCTTCAATCCATCATGGGTTTTCATGTCTTCCTGCATGATATTCCAAACTTTCAGTATGTTGATAAAATGTCTTAGTTTTGTGGCATGGCACATTTTATAAGAATGCTTGGGGAGGTTTTTGCCAGTTGTTAATGAATAATAATGATTTTGAGGTTCAAGCCTGCAGAACCAGAGGTAATTCTATCTAACCCAATTTCAAAGCCTCCTATTGTCATCTCTTTCTCCTCTTCATCTCCTGCCCATAAAGGACCAATCCCTGTTTCTTCTAGTTTAAGAGGCAGCTCAGTGCATAGTGCCATACCTTCCAGTCCAGAGAATCCTGGAGAGAGCAGTGTCTCTGCCCTCTACAGGAAAAACATGTTCCTCATCCTGTAAAATGCTGAGAGAATCATTAGCACAGATAATCCCTGCCAGTTCCCATCAAAATGAGTACCCAGTGGAAATAATGCTGCATTTTTCATACAAACATCAAACACTGCATGGCATCAGATCTCCAGCCCACCACCCAACACGACGTAGTCTTTGAAAGTGCTGTAGGTAGCAACAGGCAAAAAAAGCTGAAATTCAGGCATCTGGCTGGATTTTGCACTTACTTGCACTTGCAGGTTTTAGAAGGTAGCCTGGGCTCTTCATATGAGCATTAGCAAAGGAGTATTGGCAATCTCTGCAGATGAAGTACTTCTCCGAAATAAATCTGTATTTAGTTTAACATAATTGGTTTGTGGTATATTTAAAAGAACAGCAGTAAAGAAACATGTATATATAATACATATTGTAGATATAATACATTATATATATATTTATATATATAATCAGTTAGGTTTCCTATAAATCTTCCTGCCAATAAAATGAGGCAACTGTAACACTCTGGAGCTAAAATAAAGTGCTGCTTCATGCTGTTTTTCATGCATATCTTTTTTTTGGAGATTCCTTCAGCCATTTAAAAGATTCAGTCCAGCTCTGGTTATTGCAGCTATGTTGAAACAGAAGAAAAAAGATGTATGTGTGAGACTGCTGCTTTGAGGGATTGTTTTGTTATTTGTCATGCATGCCCACATGAAGACCTTGGACCCTTAATTTCCACCCTACAGCTGTATACCTAGAGATAAACAGGTGTAGGAAGTCCTGGAATGCTTTGCTAATTTTAGTAAAAGTTTCAAAATATGTCAGAGAGATAGAAAAATGAGAAAGGTTGGGTTTGTCTTGTGGTTGTTCTGTAGGCTTATATAATTCAGCTTTGACAACCTTCCTAATGGAAGTTGCTTTTCTAGCAGTCTTATGATGAATTTACAAGCTAAGTAGGTATTGACATGAATACCTAAAGTGTTCACTGCAGGGGACAAAGAGAGTTGTTAGAAAATGACACTAACCCAGGCAGACCCCTGGAACTACAAGAGGGGACATTTTAGCGCAGTCATTTTTGGACTGGAGGCTGAGACCCAAGAAACGCAGCTGTAATTTCACTGGCGACCCTCTAACTTCACTGGGGCAGCTCTAGCTTTGCTTGTAAGTCTGCATAATCCTCTGAAAGCACGTGGTACTTAAGCACTGGAATAACCAGCAGGCACAGCTCAGTAGTCAGAGCTTCTCCAGATGAATAGGAAAAGGAATTTTGGAATTCTTGTTCTTCTGTAAACATCTATGAAGCACTTGTATGGCTCTAAGGAAGAAGAAGAGAAAAGGAAGGTGATAAAAGCAGTTAGGGTGATACCTTTCTGACAAACATAAATTCTTGCCAGTACAACTGTGATCAGTCCTGTAGTGGTCATTTCCAAGGGAGGAGCCACCTCACAGAATCCTCCTTGCTGTGGAAATTGGAGAGTTTAACATTTCATTTGAAACCAGAAAAGAAGAATTTTGTTGTTTTTTTTTTTTTTTTTTCCTTGGAGGTTTGGCAGAATTCTGAGCTGCCAGGTTAGTTTGTTTTGGGAAGCCTTATATACTATGACCCCAGGATGCCAAGAGCTTCTGCTGGCTCTTCAGCACTTCCAGGCTCCCAGTTATCCTGTCGTGGCTGAGGAGCAGCCCACCAAGCAGGGAGAAAGCCAGGCAAGGTCCAGCTGTAGTGTCTGCCAGAGCCCTGAAGAAATGGATGCAATGTCACAAAAAGTTAGAAGTTAATAAATAGGAATCTCCCAGTTTGAAAGATGACGCTTCTGTGGGAAAGTCCTGAGCCATCCCTCCTTGGAAGCCTGCAGTTCTGAGGGAGATTTTTGTCTGCTTATTTCTCCTTTGTCTTGTTTTTAAGCTGGAATAATTCCTGTATGCACTCCATGCTGCTGAGCCCCCATGTTTAGATTTTGCTCTTATTAATTAGTGAGGACAAAATAAAGAGAACAGTGGCTTCCAGTTCCTGCAGAAGGCAGAAAATTTCAGTGAAGGCTTTGAGGCCAGGCTACATATGATATGGAAGTAGGAGACATGATTAAGTTTTGTGCTGTGTGGCTGAAGAGGATTATTCATCTACATGTGCCTTCACCTGACTCAAACATGATACAGCGAGATGGCATCTTCCAGCTGAAAAATCGGCATAACTTTATCTCAGATACATGGGTACTGCAAAATTCTGTTATCCCTCTGGCTTTATTTTGGATTGCAGTCTCTCACTGACACAGCCACTAAACAGAATATGAGTTAATACTGGCTGGCAGAGGAATGATTTGGTAGCTGTCTTGTCACATGCAGCAATGCCTTGTTCCACTCAAGATCTTATTTTCTTCTCTTTTAAGCTAATTAAGGTCATACCAAGCCTTTTCTTGGACGGAGGAATGCTGCCATCATAACAGGGGACATACCATAGGAATTAGTGCTGGTGTCACCAGGCTCCCACACTGGTTCAGTGAGATGTGCAGAGCTGCTTGAAGTGCTGAGTAGTTTTGTTGTTGATTGGTTTTTTTATAATTTGGGGTCCTGATTGCACAATATAGGCACTTTTGGTTGGTTGGTTGGTTGGTTTTTTTGGTACTGTTTTTGGTTTTTTGTTAAAAAAAAAGTGATAGTCTTTATAAGCATAGGAAATCACATCAGTTCTGTCTGATGGACTTAACAGGAAATGCATGTTTTCTCATTCCTGTCCTAATCTTTGGTAACATTCCTGTGGAGAGTATAATAGCTGTGTCATGCCACCTCACGGATGAGTCTTCTCAGTTCATAGCTAGTGTTACCAAAACTCTCTTAAGATTCTCATGAGTTGTTGGGCAGCTGCAGTGCAGCTTGTGGCTTTTTATTTTTTCATCCTAAGTACCCTCAAAGCATCCCACTGATCAGTGGGAAAATAAGCTTTATCTTTTCCTCTGTGATGAAGTCTTTAGAGGGATTCTTTTGTCTTGCCTACAAGATTTTGAACAAGCAAAATCTATTTAAAACAATTTAAACCTTGCAACAAATTGAAGTGCTTATGAGAGTGTGTAATGTACACTCATTGGACAGTGGGATACATGGATGTGTTTCATACCTGGACACAGGCAATTACTGTTGTGCTGAGCTTTTTGTGCTTTGGTTACATAACCATGATGGATGGAAAATATTTTAGAAATTCTGAAGTGCTACAAATATTTATGGACCTGCTACAAAAAATAAATTAAATCTAGAGGGTGGCAGAAGACTTATCAAAATCATCTGATTTTCTCTGCTTCAGATTATTCACATGTTCTTTGTCATTCCTTTTTTTAACTATTTTCCTTTGAATCCAATCTGGAAAGAGACATGAAATGTAGAGACGTATTACACAGTATAAATTTTCTAACTGAGATGATAGAAACAAGACCAAAACAGAGTGAAACAGGTTTTGGAAGCCTGTGAATCCAAAAGCCTCTTTGCCTTTTTCACCTATTTTGACTTGTTTAATGGCAGGCACCATCTCCTCCTCCTAGTCCTGCCTTGTGGTTCCACAGCACGGATTTTGCAATGCCAGACATCCAAAGGGTTCCTCTGGCACAAGTGGCTTCATGCTTACGGTGTATCACCGGCAGAGCTGTGGTGGGCTTTCCTTACCACCAAAGCCAGCCACAGCTGGTTGCACACTCCCCAGCTCTCCTCAGACAGCCTGAGCATTTGCTCTGAGCCCTTCAGTGCTCCCCAGGAGTGACAAATCCCCGCTAATGCTCGCTGACACTGTGATTACAGGACATCAACGCTTCGATGACGAACAGCTCGGTGGCAAGCAAACCGCCCGTAACGCTGCGGCTCGTCGTCCCAGCAAGTCAGTGTGGATCCCTCATAGGAAAAGGAGGTTCCAAAATCAAAGAAATCCGGGAGGTAAGTCTTGGGATGTGCTGGGGACACTGGCTAGCTCAGCATCCTACTGCAGTGTGCCCTGCCAACATCACCCACTGCACTTTGCTGATCACACCAACATGAGCACGTGTTGACTGGAAAACCTGGAAAAGCCTTGGTCTGAGAGGAGCAGGGGGTCCAGCACAGCTGCACTTCTACTTTTCTTGACACTAAAGACCACATGTGAAATAGAGAAACAGTTTTACAGTGTATAAAGACTTTCATGCATAATTAAGCAAAGCAACAGTGATGAATGGCTCTTCAAGTTTCTTTTCTAGCACAGACCCCTGCCCAGCAATACTCAGGGGACCCCAAATCAAAGAGTTGCAGCCATTTCCAAATTAGTCACCACCCTTACAGTCAGAGAAAAACCCAAGCAGCACTGGGGATTCCAGGCTAGTAGATCTACTTTCTAGAAAAGTGTGATTTTCATGCTCCTTCCCTGTTTCTCCTTAATGTCACTGGGCCACAAGTGACCTGATCTGATGCATTCCAAACACAGAATTTATTTTTAGTCTAAACTTTAGCTAGAGGTACTCATTCAGTGTGCTAGGAGCCACTTTTTTGTCTAAACAAAAAATGCAAGGAGTACTGTTAACAATATAGCACATGCCAAGCCAAGGATCTGATGTTTGTAATCACTCATACAAGAAAATCAGGTACATGCACAGTTATATAGAGAAAATATGAATAAACATTGCAGAAAAATGGATTGTTATTCTGGAGGAAGTGACAATATTCCTTCTAAATTTGAATTCATTCCAACATGGGATGAAGTGTTGAGTACTAAGATAACATGTTGATTCATTTTTTTAATTTGCCTATGTCAATACAAAAGGCTTTTGACAGGCTCTACGAACCTGAAACTCTGTTTTTTTTCATCTGAAATGTGGATCCAAGGCAGTAGGTTTTATGGAGCTTTTAAGTTGATTTCTTAGTTCTGTTAAAATAGAAACAGGCATGAGTGTGAACTGTGTGCTAGTGATTGCTTAGCTCTAGGTTTTACAGCTGTCCATACTTCGGATTTTATATTAAATATTGGTAACTTCACTCCAGAGCACTATAGAACTGTGCCCAGGACATAGGTTTTTAAAGGTGAAATTGGTCTGTTGGTTAAATGAAGTGACTGAAGTGATTATCCTGTTGAGCACAGTTTCAGAAGCAATTGCCCATAGTCTGGTACACGGAAGTAAAAGGATAGTGTTTGGCCAAATAGGTGTTTTGGTAAGGCTAATGTAGCGAGAAGTCACACTGCACATCTTCTTAAGCATAAGGATAATGGACAAAGTATTACTTGTTTCTTGCTACTGATGAATGACCAAAGTCAGAGAATAAACATGATTAGCACTGGGAGTAAATGCATGAATTACTCTGGTACTTGGCAGTCTTTTGTGCTGGATGTACAGATACCCAGGAATGTACATTAAAAAGCAAATGCCAGGAAAGAGGGGGAAATCAAGGAGCATCCAGCCCGAAATGTGGTCTGATTTCATCATCACAAAACACACTGAGCAGTTGCAAAAGGAGGGGTCTTTTGTGTTCAGTCATGCACCCAGGAACAGCTTGTAGGGTTCCAGTACTATTTTTGAGATAAGATTATGAAAAAAAAAAGAAAGTAAAAACATGAGGGATTGATCAAATTACAGTGAAATTCCAAAGTCTGTTATAGGGCATGGAATTGATACTTTGGCCTTAAACAGCACTAGTGAACAGAAGATGAAATCAGTACATTAATCAGTCTTTGGAAAGAAGGATAACACTTGTGTATAACTAAAAGGAAAACAAGTTAACTCCTTGCTGACTGATGCAAAGTCAATGATTACTGATAATAAATACTTGTATTTTAAAGCCCAAATACTGCATTGCAATAACAGTCAGGAATAGATCTTTTGTGCAATATGTTAAAGAGCTTAGTCAACATCAAATGCCTGGGTTTTTCTCTGTTGGCTGAAAAGGTCTTCTGTGTTTGTGTAATAATGTCAAGGGTTGTTTGGGCCTCCAGTATTTTCTTCTTTCTTTCTTTTTTTTTTTTTTTTTAACTAAGACACACTAGTGCCAAGATCAAATTTAAAAAACAGTGAAAAAAAAAAAAAAAACAAAAGTGGCTCATTACTTTCTTGGGTTCATTAATGAGCCAAAAGTTGATGATATGCATATATTTAATCAACACTAATTAAGATTTAGAAGTGCTTCTGTACCATATAGCATAAGGAAGCCTCGAATTTCAACAAGAGACACAAGTCAGCCATCAGTAGATTAAAGAGCCATTTATCAGTAGATTAAAGAGTGACTCATTTGATTAGCCGACCTTCTTCAATTATTGGGGCTTTTTTCTTATTATTTTTTTATTATTGAAGAGTACTTCACCATTTTCACTTTTTAGTCAGCATTGCGACTGTCAGCCTTTGATAGGGTTAAAATGCTTCTCCTGACATTAAGGTCACAGTTTGATTCCCTAACAGCTACTGAGGACTAAACTCCCTGGGGTGGTAGTGCTGGCAAACTGGCTTGAACAGCCAAATCCATGTCCAGGGTACGAGTTTCCAAACATGCTCTACCACATCCAGCAAAGACCAAAAAAAAAAAAATGTTTAGGGGTGTACCCCCTCTGTTGTCTCAGTGAATGGCTGCAGAGGTTCCATTGCCTGCACGGCAATGACAGTGTCTTTGCTCTGTCTGTGCTGAAGTCCACAGGAGCCCAGGTGCAGGTGGCAGGGGACATGCTGCCCAACTCGACGGAGCGCGCGGTGACCATATCCGGCACTCCCGATGCTATCATCCAGTGTGTGAAGCAGATCTGCGTGGTGATGCTGGAGGTAAGCGGGCGCCCTGCGTGTCCCTTCTCACTCAGGAGATGCTCAAGCACATCATTAATAATTGTCAATTGCCATGGGTTCCCCTGGGGTGCTGCCTGCCATTCCTGTGCCAAGGATTTTCAGAGGCTCTGTTAAAATCTACTTCTCCGAGTGTTTGAGAGCCTCTTGCAGCATGGTTTAGCAGTCAAAGGCTGTCATGACATTGTCGAACAACCAGGTCCAGAACAGAGCTGCAGCCGTTCTGAAAGAAAGACATTTTATTCTGATGTAGAACAGGGCAAAAAAGATGCAGCTGTTGTTTAAAATAGAAATAATTCTGACCAGCCAGGACTTTTTGCTTCCTTAACGTCAGATCATTGCATAAGAACAATAAGTTTCATTTTGATGGCAGTTTTTTAGCCCTTAGATTAAATTATACACAAAATAAATTTATATAAAAAACTGTGCATTCTAAACCCTTGCTGAAAATGCCCATAATTTCCAAACCACTGACATTTTCAAAATTGTGCCCCTGTTTAATGAAATGCCTCAACATGCTTAATGAAGCTTCATAGCTTCATCTGACAGTGGCAGTAATGAAATCACAGGTGTCACATTGCCTGTTTTGGCCATGCACTCGGGTCCTCAGCTCTTCCCTTGAAGCCCAGACAGGAGTCATCTAGCGTGCTTCTGGTCTGGTGGGGTGGAGGGCAGGGTGGGCTGGGCTGGGTTATCTGCATGTGTTGTTCTCTGAGGTGACCAATATTTATAAAAAGAGACATCTTTTTAATACAAGCTCTGCTTCGTTTTACATTTTGACCGCTTTGTGTTTTTGTCTGCAGTCCCCACCCAAAGGTGCCACCATCCCCTACCGTCCCAAACCTGCCTCTGCACCTATCATTTTTGCAGGTGGCCAGGTAAGAGCAGACACCATTTTGGCTTCAGCTGGAAACCACACCGTCCTGGCCCAGCCTCAGCCAGCGCCTGTTAGTTTTCAACTTTTACTCTTTCTTGCCTGGTATAGTATTGATGTGCTTTGTCTACTGTGAGTGCTTACAGTTTGCAGGACAGGAGAACACTGCATTGCAAACTGCACACAAAATTGTGACGATCTGGTATTTTACCAAGATTTAACATTGACTTCTGTAATTAAGAAAGGTTTGCCCTTCGGCAGATCAAGAGGTGTCCAAATCAGGAGCTCATTGAGTGGGGCAGCCCTGCTTATTGTAGTGGTTGAGGGATTTTTTCCTTAACTTGAAGCTTCACTGGCAGTATCAGCAGTTTCATCAATTTTCAGAGGTGATGAAACAGTGGGACATTTCGGCTAATGAAAAGTGTAATTTTTCTCTCATAGTTTTCATACTTTTTGGGACAAAATAGTGCATTTTGCAGTAAGGATTTACACAGACATAATTTCCACTGCTTGTAGTCCCTGAGGACCAAGCAGCAATGGAATTCTGAGGTGGCTACAACTACTTACATGCAAGTGTAGACCTTCCAAACCATGGTGTGGAACAGCCTGGAACAGCCTCAAAGGAAAATCGACCCCATAAACCCAACCTAGAGGAAGGCAGACATCTCTCTACTCAGGATTAAAGCCGCCCTGGCCGTAAGGAACCCCCACCCAACCAGATCTTTTCCCCAAGGTGATGCCAAGGTCTCTTTTTAAGCAATTACCCAATTACCAGCAGATGTGCAGACAGGTCCCCTCTCCCACCCCATCAGCCCATCCAAGGTCATCACCCTATCACAGGGTGTGGGCTGATGGCACACACTGTGTCCCACCTCGGGCAATTTGGAGATCGTACGATTAGCTGGACATGGAGTTCCTGGTGGGGCTGAGTGCCCAAGGTGCTGCTGACATTGTTGGTGTGATGGCCTGTGCCATCACAATCTGCTGGTGTCTAAGGAAGATCCTGCACAGGAGCACACACCTCCCTAGCATATGGCAAAATGCTTCTGACAGCCCTTGTTATGAACTGTCTCTGATTTTATTTTTTTGTCTGAGAATTTTACTTTCTATTCTCTAATGATTTGTTCTGGTGTATATCCAGATTTTTATAATCTGGATGTAGTAGCTTTCATCATGTTTGAGCCTACTTCTGTTACTTGTTGCCATCAAAATAAGAAATCTGCTTCATTAGTGACCAAAGCTGAATTTAAATGTAAAATAACGTGCCAGAAACTGGTCTAGGACTGAAAGTTCAGAATAATTTACTCCAATTGTGTAAGTTTACACTGCAGTGCTGTCCTTTAAGAAATATATGTGTGTATATACATGCAGCAGCCCATTCTATCAGTGTTGTAATTGCCACTGCCTTCAAAGACTGTATATGATTATTCAAAAGCATTGAAACTGTTTGCTAGAGGGTGCTGAGCAGTTCGTATAAATAATCAAAAGTATCCTATTTTCAGGTCTAATAGCTCTTGTCATCTTCAGTTTTATCAGTTGAAAAAGTGTTCTCACTTTTCTACTGCAACCTTGTTGATGTGCAAAAGAATGTAAGAGGCAGACACCTTCTGTGTGCTAGCTGTGTTCTGGCTAGCAGAATTTTTAAGAAAATGTTTAAGGTGTGTTTGGACACCAGTATGGAAAGACACTTTAACCAGGTTTCATTAGTGGAAATTAATACCAAAAATTAAATTTTATTAGCACTGTTAGTTCCACACAACCTTTCAGCTAAGGTATCAGAAGTTATTTTTCTGTTCTAAATTACATCATGGCTATCTTGAATGGGTTTTGTTTGTTTAACACTTAGGAAAATAAGTAACATTAACAAAATATAATCTCGAGTTTTCCTTCAGAAGTTGGGGTTCTTCCACTCTTAAGTATTGCTTTTAATTCTCTTGTGCTTCTTTGGTACTGCATTGCATAACAAAACTAAAAGGAAACTGAACACTGCTCTGCTCTGCCCCTATTGTTATTTAGCATGTGCAATGGTTAAATTGGAAATTTCTATCCCGTGTGCTACATTGGTGTTTAAATGGGTTCTCAGAGGGGGCAGCTTTGCTCTCTGTCTCTCACCAGTATGATGGTCTCAATCGAGGGAGATGTGCAGAGCAGGTCATCCCTGCCATTACTTGCATCAGTAGGGAAGTTGCCCATGACTTTGATGGAAGCAGATCCATAGCCCATGTGCTCACTGGAACATTACAGGAGAGATGTCTCAGTAGCCTCTAATCAGGCTTGAGCTTAGCAAGCCCCAGCCCCAAAAACAGACGGTTCCCCTGACAAGGGCTGAAGCAGAGACTGTTTTCTCAAGCTAAATTGATCAAGTGACCTTTTGGCAGCCTAAGAAATTAAAACCTTTCCTTCTCAAGTTTTTTGGGGGGTTTTTTGAGTTTTGGTTTGGGGTTTTTGTTGGTTGGTCGGTTGGTTGGTTGGTTGGTTGAGGGGTTTTTTGTGGTTTTTTGTTTGTTTGGTTTTTTGTGGGTTGTTGGTTTGGGGGTTGTTTTTGTTTTTGTTTTTGTTTTTGTTTGGTTTTTGGTTTTTTGGGGGTTTTTTTTACTGGGTAAGAAAATTCAAGGTCCATCATGTCCATTCTGGTTTGATGGTTTTCATGGACTACCAAGCAACCAAGTAAACCTGGTCTGAGCACTGAATGTTCATTGTTTTTGTTACCTCTCCAGTTTGTTTGCTTCCTCCTTTGTAAACATGGAAGTATGAGGGAGCAGAACAATGAGGGAAGAGGTGGCTTCTCTTAGGTTTGCTGGTGACTGTTTTGTGATGGGTTCTTGCTGGTTTGCAGACCACTGCTTGGAAAACAGCCGTGTAAAAGATGTTCTCTCAGCTGGGTCTGAAGTACGGCTGAGATCAGAAAAGACACTTATGATCCAGCACAGAGGCTCAGACACCAAAGCATGGTTTCCAAGCCCACTGTTTGCTTACAGACCCAGCTGTAACCTCCCTGAAGCTGCTGCTGTACTTGGCTGAGCACAGAGCACAGCCCCCTTCCCCCTGCCCTGTCCCACTGAGGTCATCCTCATTTGGTAGAACAGTTAAACAAGTTTCACTTGCTCGAATACATGTTTCTTTTAGACCCACTGATGACAGTGATGACTTGTTTTTGTGGAATGGAAACTTTTCTTGTGATACATAACCCATCAGTGATGCCCATCCCCTACAGATGCACATGCATGTTTGCCAATGAACCTCCCATTGAGCCTGGTACACACACTTCTCCCTAAAAACTGTTCATGTGCATAATGTTTTCCAGATTATGGCCTGGCTTTATAACTAATTGAAAAACTAAATTAAATGTTTCTTCTCCAGAAGAGAAATTCTGCTGCAGAAGTGTGCATCATGCAGTTGAGACATTAAAGGTTTTAATATCCAAACTCCATTAAATGAATTGTTTTATCATTTGCAGAGGATTCATTACTTTCTAAGAGGCCTTTTGTCAAATAAGCATTTTGCAAACTAAGCTAATCAGCTCTGTTCCTGTTTATAATTCTCCCACTACAAATATTTATGTTATAATTTGTCCTTCTGCTTTCCTGCCTGTCTAAGCACAAGCACGTTAATTTTTTTTTTGACATGCCATTCCTTTCATACATAATCGAAAATCATAAACTCTCTGTAGTTTTTTGTAGGCCACTGCAGAGAGTTGAACAGGACCAGCAGGAGAGACAAAGGGCTGTGCTAACTGGTGTCAGGCATACCACCATATCCCTCCTCACTTGTGTGCTTTTTTACCCCCACACCTCACCCCAGTGCTGCCAGAAACTACATCCCTTGTATTGCTCTTGTGGTGCAGAGTGGCTGGATTTGGAGGGAGGATATCTGGCCTGTTGTGGACGATAAGACCACCCACCATGCTGGGGGTGTCCCTGATGCTCCTGTCTCCAAACTGGGCTGCTGACCCTGTGCCCAGGTCCTGCAGGACAGGCTGCCATCAGCACACAGGCTCAGCTACACACTGGCACGGCAGCCTGGGCATGAGCTCCATGAGGTGCCCCAGCTGGCATTTGGTGTCTGTGGCTGTCAGATGAGGTGGCTCAGACCTGGCTGGCACGTGGCCCTGCACACACGTGGCAGTCAGGAGCTGGAGGACAGGGCATCCCCTGGGCAGGCCTGTCCCCTCCTCACTGTGTCTCTTGCTGCTCTGGCATTAGCATCTCCCTACGTGCCTTGGTGTCACTGGGCACCCCCTGTGCTCCTTGACCCCCTCAGCTCTGCTCCTGGCAGACAGAGCTGGACTAAAGAGATCTCCTGAGGGCCAGGAGCATCAGAGTTCAGGCAGTGGCACTTGGGGTTCTCTGCTGGCAAGGGGTACATGGGCAGCCTGACAGAGCCTCTCTGTAACGTGCCAAAGGTTATAAAGCAGCACAAGACAATTAAACCTCACTCAGTGTGGAAAGCAATGCAGGTGGCGTTTGCTGGGGGGGGGCATGAGAAGCTTTTGGGATGAGAGCAGGAATGCTGCTTGTCCCACCTGACTAACCCATGTCTTAACTGTGCTTGTTGTTTCCAGGCGTTCACGATTCAGGGGCAGTATGCCATCCCTCATCCAGACGTGAGTCCAGCACATGTAAATTATTCCCTTTTTGTTCCTCTCCCTCTTATTTGTTCTGGGCAGCATTTGCTTTCTGCAGTTAGCAATGAAGACATGGCCTAAGGTCACCTTTCCTGACCAACATGGTCTGTAGCCAAGTGTTAGCCCAGCTGCATCTCTTACCTTGTGTAAAAATTGCTAGAAAGTACAATGGCCCAGGAACAAATGACAGCTATCTTGGTCTTTTTGCATGTGATATATTTGAGTTCTTTTAATATGTAATTCTACAGTAATTAGTTAATATTAACAATAGCCATTACATGTAATAACAGTAGAGATGTCATTTATAACCAGTTTGTTTTTATTTTTTTTTCTCTACGGTAGATTAGAATGAATTATTAAACCTTTTATTTTTCAATATAATTTTAATTAATCCAGTTTTAGAACACGTAAGATGGTTTTTCTGCTCTGAAATAATTCCATTTGATTGGTTAGTTCTAATTTCCCATCCTGCCCTGCAGTTGACCAAGCTTCACCAGTTGGCTATGCAGCATCCCCCCTTTACTCCCCTTGGGCAGACCACCCCTGGTTTCCCTGGTACGTACCCATGACCCCCTGGGGATGTCCTTCTTCTTAACAGCTTTGTTTCCCGTGGTCATTACATCATTTTAATAATAAATGTGGTCAATGACCAGCAATCCTTCTGTTTTTACACATTAATCTCTCTTCTTCCCTCCCATACCTCTGTTACAGTTCCTTTCATCATTACTAGAACTTGCTTTGTTTGTTACTTTTGTTAATCACAACTGCTTCATTTGTGCCCTTGGCTAAAAGCCCTGAGTTTCTTCTGTTCAGTCCTTGCAGGGTTATTGTGGACCATACAGTATGTACCAGTTGGTTCTGAGGGAAGTGCTTGGGCATTTTTCTATCCATGCTTTGGTGACATGGATCTCAGAGAGAAGCAAACATGGGAAAACAATTTGTGCTCATGGCGCAGAAACACCAATTAAAGAAACCATGGCATGATGAAGTTGAATTCTTGTAGAGCCAAATGTCTTGAGAGCATCTGTAATCATCACTGCTGGGATAAGTGCCTCACTTCCTACTAGATAACACAGATATAGCTACAAAATGCAATGGAAATTTAGTTAAGGACTTAAAAATTTGCTCCCTAGTTAATAAAGCTGAGGCTGAATTCTTGATTGAAGAGTGAGAAGTCACTTGAGCCTGCAAATGAACATTTTTACTGTGCTTCACAACATACATGCTTGGCATCTAAAAACTTCACAGAAGTGCATCTGTACTGGTACATGCTTTGTATGGCAAATAACATTTTATTGCATACATCACAAATTCTGTGAGCAACTTGACTATTTGATACTCAGTGTAAAATAAGCTTGTGCAATTCATAATTGAATATAAACAAATAAAATTAGTCACTTTTTAATAGAATATTTATTTTTTTGTATATTCTAGTTAGAAATTACTATTTTTGGCATATCTTTACAGATAATACAATAAACACCAAAAAAAGAGAGAAGAGAAAGATTCATGACATCAAAACATACTTTTGTTTCTTTGTGATGTATCTGATAAAATACCTACAAGTAATACTAAATGGCCTTTCCTAGCTTTGTGTTTTCCTTATTCTTGTCATTAACATCCTGCTCCTTAATCTTTTCCTGGTTATATCTGTGAGATGTACGTTTCTGTAATGTTACTGTGTGTTAGAACAGTAATTCCATTTTTCCTGAGCATTTTCCTTTTGTCCACCCAATTTACAAACAAATGTATGCAGCTTAGAGTACTTTGTCCATTGCCCTTCCAAAATTACCTTTCCCAACATTTCTTCAGGAACTAATCCCACATATAATTTCCAGATTTCTTAGGTTAATTTTTTTGTCTTTATTTTAATTTTTTTGTTATTTTTCATAAACATGTATTTTGTTCAGCTAAGTGTTCATTTGACATCCACTTTAATTTTCCATATTCTGGAATTCCTAGTAGACAGGTCCAATTTCAGCCATACATGAATTTCTCAATTGATGTGTTTAGAACAAGCTTCGGAGACATATTTTTAGAGGAAACCCTTCATTTTCTAGAAGCTTTTTATGATGACCCTATGGAATCTCATGTGACATTTGTTGCTTTGGTGGGTTAAAGGTTAATTAAAATAAGACTCATTTAAAATTAGTCCAGCCCTCTGAGTTTTGCATCCTTTGCTTTCTTTTCTGTTTCACTATCAGTTCTCTATTTTTCTTTGCTCCTTTCTTTTCTCTTTTTTTTATTTCTCTCCTTTCTGTATGTTACCTTCTTTAAAATTTCATTTGTTGTGTCTTGCCCTTCTTGCAAACAGCTGGCGTAACATTTTCCCTCTGTCCCCTGAATAGGACTGGATGCCACTACTCCAACCAGTTCCCATGAACTTACTATTCCCAATGATGTAAGTGGACCAATAGTCCGTATCTCTTTCTCTTCTCTTGCTCCTCTGCCACCAGAGGGGACACCTCTGACCTTTGGCTGATCTGTAAACACCGGCCCCAGAATAAAGGGTGCAGCACTCAGTCTGTGGGAGGGGTGTGAGGGGCTGGTGAAACGCTGGATGGCAGCGGCAGGAGTGGCTGTCCCCTCTCGTGCCCCTTGGTGACAGTGCCATGGGGCTTCACTGGCTTCATGAAAGCCTGGCTTCCCAAAACTCATCTCTCAGGTGGCACTGGCACGGGTGGTCTCAGCAGAGGGGCCAAAGGGGGTGGAAGGATGTGCAGCCCCGTGTGCTGTGTGTTGGGCTGGAGTCCTTCATGCCCATCTCCACTGAACCCCACACTTACCCAAGAATTTTTCCTGAGCCAAAAAGCTACTTTAGAAATGTAAAGGTGCAGTATAAGGGTTTATTTAAAAAAGCAAGGGCTAGGAACACTCCTGCTCCAGCAGCTCTGGGTTGTTTGTGATTGACAGGCCCAGCGTCCATGAGCAACATGGTGCTGAATCTCAAAACAGTTCAAAATCCCAGATGATAAGCTGGGCATCACATAAAAATGCCTTCCCCTTTAATTCGATTTCATTGCAGACAGAGTTGGGGTCTTTTTTCCATATTCATTACAAATGAGTCACTTGGAAAATGGAAATATTCCCCTCCGGTAAAAAAGCTTTGAAGCATGAGTGGGATCACAAATAGCAATTATACTATTTAAGAGATACTTACAATATTGTGCAAGCCCTATTAAACTCAGTGGCAATGATTTACAGTAAGAAAAATATACAGAACCACAAAGTGGAGGTGTGAATGCTGTGTGATTCATTAAGCTTTCTGTTTCCCTGCTGATTTATCAGTTCCTGTTTTGCAACCAAATTAATATTAAGTTGAGAATTTTTTAGGAGCACCTTCTTTATCCTTATAGCACAAGTTTCTTAATTTCACTTTCAGGCAAATGTTGTTCTTGCCATCAGAGTTATAAATCCAGGGTCACTCTTCTGACTTATCTTCTTTTGGGGTTCATGGCAGAGAAAGAGAGGGAGAAAGTTGGCCCTGGGTCCTGTAGTGCCATACAAAATTTTTAAAAACCATCAGTTTCTCATCCATGAGGTGTGAAATACCCCAGCTCAGTACTGTCCGTGAACAGCAAACACGAATCTGCACGATGATTCTCATAGAGGGTTTTTCTGGCTGTGCAGTCTGTGTCTTGCTGTTGCTGCTTAAGGAGCAAAGCTGAGGCTAAAATGGGGTTTGGCTTAGGAAGAGCCTGCAGGAGCTCTGCAGGTGGGGAGAGGGAGTTCTGGTGTTTGTATGGTGTCAGGGTGTGCGTTAGAGGGACAAAAGGTCGGTGCTGCCCACCTGAGCTCTGTGTGCTCCTGTCTGCGTGTGCTCCTGTCTGTGTGTGCATGCCCAGGGCTGAGAGCAGAGGCAAGAACAGGCTCTTGTCCTGTCAGTTAGCAGGAGCTGCTTGGGAATTTTGCAGGTGCCTTCCCTGGGGTCTCCCAGTGTGACCATGCATACTGGTGTCCCATGTCCCTATGACAGCTGCACTAGGGCTGCTCTCCAGGCAGCCCGGTGCCAAAAATGTATTTCTTTTTGTCAGCAGTGGTGTGACCAGCAGGACCAGGGCAGTGAATGTCCCCCTGTGCTTGGCTCTGGTGAAGCCACATCTCAAATGCTGTGTGCAATTTTGGGCCCCACAGTTCAGGAAAGACATTGAGGTGCTGGAGAGAGTCCAGAGAAGGGCAGTGAAGCTGGTGAAGGGTCTGAGCACAAGTCCCATGAGGAGCTGCTGATGGAGCTGGGGCTGTTTAGGCTGAAGAGAGGAGGCTCAGAAGGGACCTTATTGTTCTCTGTAACTACTTGACAGGAGACTGTAGGCGGGTGGAGGTTGTTCCCTTCTCCCGAATGAATGACAGGAAAAGAGGAAGTGGTCTTAGGATGTTGCACCAGAGAAGGTTTAGATTGGATATTAGGAGAAGGGTCTTCACTGGAAAGGTGGTCAGACATTGGAACAGGCTGCCCAGGAAAGTGGTGGAATCACCATCCCTGAAAGTGTTCAAAAGGACATCCAGAAGTGTTCAAATGGACATTGTGGATGTGGCACTTGAGGACTTGGTTTAGGGGTAAAATGATGGTGCTGGGTTAATCATTGGGCTCCATGATCTTAGAGGTTTTTTTTCAATCTTAATGATTTGAAGAGAAATGAGGATATGAGGGAGACAGAGAGAAATGAGGCAGTGAGGCAGCAGGGTGGGAAGGCACCAGCACCATCAATCAGATGCTGTGTCAGAGGGAGGCCAGGGCAGGAGAGGCAGCAGCAGCAGCTGTGCAGCAAAGCTTGCGTGGGCCATTTGACTTTGCCTTCCCAACAAGCATCTCCTAGTGCCAGTTTTGATGAGCAGGCTGTCAGTGTGGGCAGTGATTGTTTATGTGGCTGAAGGTGAAGGAAGCTGCAAGCCCTGGCACGGAGCTGCAGTGCAGCCCTGAAGCTGCCCATGGTTTGTCCCCTGCCTGCTCCAGCTCCAGGGATCCGCTGTGCTGCACGAGTTCCACAGCTTTCTTATAATTTCTGCTTATCTGTGTAAAAGTCCAGCACACCATGAGACCTGCATATACCCACGTGCTTTGCAGCTATCAGATAAATCAGTGTATAGCTACACGTGGTACATACTTTTATATACTTTTTAAGACAAAGATAATGATAAGCATACCTCAGTAAGAACATGATAGAGCAAAATCAGATATAAAGACAATGAGGAGATGAGAGTTTAGCTTAGTCTATAACAAATAGATATTAATACCCTTTTACAAATTGCATAGCTTCATATTAAAATAAATTTTCCTCACTCCCTCTGGCATTTAGGCAGTGACAGAAATTTATTTTTCTATTATTAATAGTTTCTGCAAAAACATCATGCTTCTTTCTTCATGCAATATGCTGACAATTGCAATTAACCTGTTGCTCAATAACAAAGAGGTACTGGAGAACAAAAAAAAAAAAAAATCCAGAAAGTTATTTTTCACATGCTAAAAGCTGAGGCTTCCTCTCCAAATAATGAATTCAGAAGATTTGCCTTTGTAGGTTTTTTCATAACTTCTGTGTAACTCCAAAAAGAGAACAAAGAGGACACTTCTCCCAGTCCGTCTCAGAAGTCACCTTGGTCTTTATCTAGTATCTCATTTTGATCATCAAAGCCTCTTACAGGGGCATTTGGTTGCCTTTCTTTCCATGCTGGGATCTTGTCTGTCCTTCCATTGGTGCCCAAGTTACACAATATAAGTGTGTATAAATCCCAGAATAAAGTGGCATAAACAGGTCCTTAAAAGAACCTTAAAGAAGAGATGGCACCCTTGGGTGTAGATAACAGATGTCTTAAGATTTCATAAATCAATACCCCAAAACATCCATTGAGAATAACTGAACAGACCAGTAATAATTTAAAAATCTGTCTCATAAAAATTAGACAGATTTTGCATATATGTGGGAGAGACAGTCAGGGACAAGCAACAGGAAAGCAACTTGCCCACAGAAAGCACTAAGAACATTTTAAGGCAGCTGTAAATCTGATCACTACTCCATAGGAACAGAAGTGTCAGTCCATCCAAGATGGATATGGCAGACTTGAAGAACTGCCTTTATTTCCCTATGGTGCCTCAAATACTTCCCTGCCATGGGACCCACATGTGCAAAAGGTTTTTGGAGCAGCCCAGGTTTTCTCAGTTTTCTATATGACTTATTGCAAAGTCTGTGCAATTATTATGGTCCAGATTTTGCATTGTGGTGACAAGGAAATTTCTTAACATCATTATTGTTTTGTTCTTAAGAGATACGGAGCATCTTTTTCCAGGCCCTGCTGCAAGGTTGTAAAGAACTATAATCTGCCTCAGGAGATATTTCCCCCTATAGTGTACTCTGCCCCAGACTTTCTAGTTAAAAAACACAAAACAGACCAACCCAGACCTGAAACCAAGAGTTTCAGCCTGTATCTTTCTGAAAAGAGATTGAAGAGTCTCGTTCTGATGAGCACCTGCTTGCTCAGCTAATGCAGAGGCTTCGCCAAAGCACATGGACTGCTGTGTTGGCAGCAGGGAACCAGGGGGAGCCATGAGTACCTGTGGTCAACCCCTCTGCTCCTGACAGCAGATACCAAGTTGCAGAGGCTAATTCTTGGTCCTTTTGTACAAGCACTACATTATAAGAAAGGAAACCAATTCTTTTTCACCAGTGTTTAAAATCTCCATGCCATCTCCTGTGGCAGTCATTAGACTCTGTCAGTGCTTTAGCATTACAGGAAAATTTTTTATATATATATATATATATATATATATATATGTATGTATATGTATATATGTAAAGCATTTATATAGCATTTATATTTAGCATTATGGGGAAAATGAAATAATGGAAGAGAGGAAGCTGAACCAGAGATGATGCCATAGCATATTGGGAGAAATTATTGGCATCAGTAATTTGGAGGTGGGAGGAATTATGGGAGACCTTCAAATCCCACCCTTTAAGGGTCCAGACTCCTGAATCAGCTCTGTTTCCATTTGTGCCGGCAGAACTTTATCAAAGAACAGAGCAAAGCTAGAAAAAGGCAAAAAGCAGAACACGTGTTTCAGGGTTGGTTTGTTTGGAGTTTTTTTGGCACAAGGAGAAATGAGGTATGTTGAGGTTGGGGAAGACAGACAGAGGTGGTGTAGAGAAAGTGGAAAAGGAACCATTTTTACCTGGTGCTCACAGATCAAGGAGGGTACACCAGCTGATATTTTGGGTGTACGAACAAATGGTGATACTTGACGCACCAGCAAGCTCTGCAAGTCACTGCCATGGCCCTTGGACAGCAAAAGGAGAAACAGGTTCAAAAAGAAATTGTCAGACAGATGGACTATGGAGCATAAAGGCAGAGATAGCAGCTACTGCTCAGGTGATCTGTAAGCCTTAGAAGGAAATTTGAAATACCAGTGGAAACTTTATTTTATACCTCACACTGGTTTTACCTTTTTTTTTTCTCTTGTAAGGGTGGGCTACTGCCACAGTCAGAGACAGACTACTGGGCTTGATGCACATCTGATGTGAGCTCTTCCAGCCAAGTGTTGAGAGAGTCAAAATATATATGCATATACGTGTACATGCTATGTACATATGTGTATATTATAGATACTTGTAATACAAGTATTCATGGAGTGGGTAAATCACAGAGTGGGTCAGGTTGCAGGGACCACAGGGCCATGTGGTCCAACCTCCCTGCTCCAACAGGGTCATCTTAGAGCACGTGGCACAGGATTGTGTCCAGATGATTCATTAATATCTTCAGTGAGGGAGACTCCACAACCACTCCGGACAGCCTGTCCCAGTGCTCAGTCACCCTCAGCAGTAAAAAAGTTCTTCCTCACATCCAGGTGGAACTTTCTGTGCATCAGTTTTTGCCCATTGATTGCCTCTTGTCCTCTTGCTTGGCACCACCAAGAAAAGCCTGGATCCACCCTCTTGGCACCCTCCCTTCAGATTCTGACATTCATGAGGTCCCCTCTCAGTTGTCTCTTCTCCAGGCTGAATAGGCCAAGTTCCCTCAGCCTTTCCTCATAAGAGAGGTGCTCCAGTCCTTTACTCATCTTTGTGACCCTGCACTGGACCTGCTCCAGGAGCTCCGTGTCTCTCTGGTACTGAGGAGCCCAGAACTGGACATAGCACTGCAGACATGGCTCACTAGGGCTGAGTAGAGGGGCAGGATGACTTCCCTTGATCTGGGCAGTGTTACTTATTCCTAATGCTCCCCAGGATGTCACTGTCCTTCTTGGCCCCAAAGGGTACACTGCTGGGTCATGGGCAGTTTGTTGTCCACCAAGAACCCCCAGATCCTTCACCACAGAGCTGCTTTCCAGCAGGTCAGCCCCCACATTTATTGAATTTCAGACAGTTCCTCTCTGCCCATCTCTCCACCCTGTCGAGGTCCCTCTGAAGGGCTGCACAGCCCTCTGGGGTATCAGTCATTCCTCCCAGCTTTGTGTCCTCAGGGAACTTGCTGAGCAGGCCTCTGCCCCTTCATCTGAGTCATTGATGAACAGGTTAAACAGCACTGGGTCCAGTATCGAAACTTGGGGGACACCACAAGTGACAGGCCTTCAACAGGACCCTGTGCCACTGATGATTATATTTATTAGTAAGTGCAGTATTAGACTACAGTGTATAACAGGCTTGGTATAGTCTGTGCTAGGTTTGGCTCCTCTCCCAATTGGGTCAGAGGTGTTTGGATGCAGTTTGACATGATTCCAATCTCAGAGCAAGGCATCTCAGATCTCTTTATGTAGAACCAAATGCCCATAGCCAAATATCCCTTGAATTTTTTAAAGAACACATCAGCTCTTGAATACTCACATACTGCTCAAATTTCAGTGTAAGTAACATGTAATGAGAAAGGCACCTCATGGATAGCCCAAGCCCCCAGCACTAGTATCCTTCCTACATGGAGTTGTGTGTTCTGCATGAGCCACAGGCCATGTCACAGCTTGCAGAGGGTGTCCAAGCATCTTGTTGTCACAGCAATGAAGGGTGACTTTGGAGAGCTTCAGGCAAAAAAGCTACCAAACCTTTCTTTAAGACACCACCATCACCAGTGTCCTTGACCAGCGTGGACTGAATCCTCACTACCTAACTCAAACTCAGCTAGGAGACAGCACAGTCTTTGCACTGACCCACCTGGGTGACAAGCTGGGCATCACTGGAGGACCCCCAGCACATGCAAGTGGCAGCTTGCTGAGTGACCCCAGCAGGTTCCTTCTCTGCCCGTGCTCTGGTGCTCTCCTCTCCTGCACCAGCTTCACTCCTTGCAGACCATGGAGGCCAGTGAGACTGAGGCATCAGAAGCATAGGCTTATGGATCCCTGTGCTGCCCACAGGTAGCTAGTGCAGGCACATTGGTGTCACACAGACAGGCCAGAGGCTTCCTGGTGATGCACACACCAGTCCTCTGCACTGGCATGTAGTCAAACACTCTGAGAGATTCCTTGGGATGAGGACAGGGAGCTCAGCAAGGCACTCCTGTTGTAACAGGATGGGAAATCCTGTGTGCATTTCCTGCCACCCCATTTTTCCCCCCTTGTGGTTGCTCCTCTTGTGCTCGTCAAAACTTGGTCTTTGTTTCAGCTACCTGGGTATCCACTTTGGCTTTCTGTTTGTCCCTGAGTGTGAAGCAAGGATTGCGTTTGGAGGTTTTTCTTCTGTTGATAAAATATGGGGACAACGTGAATCTGTTTCTGGCCAGTTACTCCAAGTACTACAGTCCCACAAAGGGTAACACGTCAGGGCCTGAAGCAGCGGGAAGAGTGGGAGGGGAAGGGCAGTCTCTGCATCTTGGCACATCCTTCTGCAAAACTGGCAACATTATCCCAGCATTAACAGACCTGTAGAGCAAAGTTTCTGTTTTCTACTCATTCTGGCCATGACTGAGCTTCTCAGCACCGAGAACAAAACCCCACTCCTCACCCATACAGAAATCAAAACATCTCAGCCTCAGCTGCTGGCTCCATGCCCTCTTGTTCCTGGGGGCTCCCCACGCTGGAGGAGAAACACCCTGGGACACACATGCACACACACACACACAGCTCAGGCTCAGCTCTATTCACAAAATAAGAGTTTTGGTAAGTTTCTGTAAAGGAAGGCAGACAACTTTGAGTATCTTCCTATGCCTGCTTGTGCCTGCAGTCAGAGAGCTGTAAATCCCACTGACTTTAATGCACAGTACCTGGCCAAGCAAGCACCACGTGTACCCAGGGAGGCGTAGGGCTGTCAGCGCTCTGGAAAGGTGCAGAGCCACACACAGCAGCTGTGGATAGTCAGCCTGGCTTCCAGCTGCTGCTCTTGGCTTACTGCTGCCACTGGCAAGTGGTTTGGTTTTCTCAACATCACAGCACGCTGTCATTTTCTGCCACTGAGACAGTGAAATAGTCTTGAAACACCAGAAATAAGATACTGACTTAACCATGTAGCAGCAAAACTGGATCTAGAGGCATATGACCATAGAGACAATAGACTGCACTAGAGATTCCTTCCATACAGCAGAGCAAAAATCTTTTTGTTTTGCTACTGAGCTGCTCATAACCATCTTTTTAGCAATACTACAGATTGCAGTTAAGTGGTTTTTGCTTGTGTCTGTGGCACTAATCTCAGTCTTTGTCCCGCTCCAGTTAATAGGCTGCATTATTGGCAGACAAGGCAGTAAGATAAATGAAATCAGGCAGATGTCAGGAGCGCAGATCAAGATTGCTAATGCCACAGAAGGCTCCGCAGAACGACAAGTTACAATCACAGGATCCCCTGCAAACATCAGCTTAGCACAGTACCTCATTAATGCAAGGTAAGTTGGCTTTGTAAGTGATCATGCTTCTGCGAGATTGCTCTGTCTGCTCTCCAGCAAATGTCTGTCCTGAGTAGATCCAGAAAGTTGCTTTGCAGTGTCCATTTTGCATAGTATTACTCAATTCCTAATGGTTTGTAAAGCCTGTATCATTAGAACCTGGGTTTGCTGTTGGCTTATATGAAAAGGAGCTTAATCCGGTGCAATTCCAGCTACGTGTTGAATGACAAAAGCTGCAAAATCTGAATACTCATATTAGCATCCACTTAAAATATTGGTGGATAAATTAAATAAAATTAAAAGCATAAATTGTTTAGAGGAAAAACACTTCTCACAGACCCATTTTACTACCCTGAATGGCAAATATAGTGAAACACATTGCAAAACAGATTTAATTTACCAAGTGGAAATTGCCATTCAGAGTTGATAAACTGACATCAGGTTGCTGAAGACGCACAGGATTTACTTCTTCAGAGACAGCACCACAAATGTGTAAGAAGCATTCCCTAAAGAGACAGGGTGAGACTATCTGCTTCTCCACTTCCTGGTCCCAGACTTAATGAAAGCACTGGCTGTTCACCTAAGCCATGGTGATGGCTTAGGTCTCTTAACTGATTTTACATGATTATTTAGAAATATATTAAAATGGATCCCACTTTCATTTGCAATTATGTGGAGAAGAAAGTGCAGTGGATATAGTGCTGTCTCATAGATCTACTTGTAAATGCTGGACTGAAGCAATATATTGGGGGGGAGGGGGGATAGCTATGTATTTTATGGGATTACTTTTATTTTCTTTTTTTCCCCCCACAAAATTACTGTGATATGAATCAGGGGGGGGAGGGGGGATAGCTGTGTATTTTATGGGATTACTTTTCTTTTATTTTCTTTTTTTCCCCCCACAAAATTACTGTGATATGAATCAAGCTTTGTGTTTAACTGTGTTTGCTGTTAAGGTAGTACAAAGTATGTGATTTATGTGGGAGCTGCAGTCACAGCAGGTCTGTGGCTTCCTGTGGTCCAGCCTCCTCTCCATCCCAGTTTTGTAGAGCACCGCTGCAATGGTTGCCGTGGAGGAATGGGATGTTTGTGCAGCTCTGTGTTCTAGCAGACAAAAGCCCTGCTTTTCATAATTTAGTCTGAAAGCAGCTTCCTGGGGAAAGATACATGTAGGGGTGGCACTGTGAAAACTAGGATAAACCATTTCCAGAATCTTAAAACAACCTACAGCTCTTTTGATTTATATTCTTTGTAGCAAATATAAGTCACTTCCGTAAGCCCTGTAATCAAATAAAAATGTGTTCCCTCCTTTAACCCTTAAGGATATGTTCTTCTCTTGGTGTTCAGGGATTCCCCACACATCGAGACGAGAATAGACCCCTTCATTTTTAGTTGCACAAACACCACATGGCATGCATCTGGATCTCGGAAGATAACAATTTAGGATCTTGAAGACAGCTAAAGCATGCAAATATAATAATGCACTTATTAATGGAGTTGCAGTGAGCTGCTCACCAGAGACAGAAACTCTAGTGAACAAAACTGTTTGACTCACTTTAGAAAAATCTGTGAACTTTCACACTTCTGTTGATTACTGTTTAATGGTTCTTGTGGTGGAATGGGATCTATATGAGGTCTTTTAACATACTTTTGCAAAGAAGAAAACTCCTCAGCAGTCATATACCACGGATCTCTATCTATATTGTGTGAAACCAAAAACAAAGTATTTTGTTCCTGTTAAATTTCTAGATAGAAGTCATTTGTTACCATCATCTACAATAAACCATCATATATTATTATGTACCATGTGTTGGAACTGTATTTAGATGAAGTGACTTCATTTGTAGATGAAGACTTTTAAAGTAACATGTACTAAATTAAGCTGAAAGGTAACATAGGCAATTAAGGTGGCTTTTTGGTTTTAAAAAGCGACACTGTTCCAGACCTCTCCTTTCACATGAGACACTGCTGTTCAGCCAGGTGCCACCACAGCAGCAGCGTGAGTCCCGCTGGGGCAGGACTGAGAAGCTGTGAGACAGGCGAGAGGTTTGCTCTAGTGAGGTTTAGGCGCTGGGGCAGGACAGAGGTGCAGAGCCAGGCTGCTGCTGCTGCTGCCTCTGTGTGCTGGGATCCACCTCCTAAACCTGCCACAAGTGATGCTGTCTCTTTTAAAGACGGTGGCATAAAACAGCTTTGGGGAAGAGACAAGTACCTAGACTGCCCAAACTGTGGTCTGGTATGTGAAAATAATAATCACAAAAAATAACAGCCCTATAAGCGTTCAGCGTAAGGTAGACCTTTTTCTCCTCTACAAGATCTATTGTTCATGGTAATCGGTTTCCAGGGCCAGTGTTTCTGCATAAACTCATGTCTTTCAGCAACATAGGGTGTAAAAAAAGCAAAATTATCTATCCACAATATTCCTGAAGCATATTGTGTGTATCTTTAAGCTGTCCTCCAACCAAAGTTGCTGTCTATAGAATAATTTATCAGCTTGCTTTAAGACTTTTATTGCAATCTGGCGTTGGATATGTACATAGTATATTCTAAATTATAGATATATAAATATATTGATATCATATCAAGACAGAGATTTAAATCTTACAAAGTATTGGTTTGATTCTGTATTGCTTACCCGAGCACTGGCCTCTGTATGAATAGAGTGTGTCTTAGCTTGTTTGCAGTTGGAATGTCCTTTTTCCTGTAAAGCCTTCTGTCTCTTTAACTGGTCTCCACTGTAGTAACAAGATTTTCATTACCCAATTCCATCTTCTTGCTTTTATTAAGATTGAACTGCAGTTTAATTTTTCTATGTAATATCTGACTTTGGATTATAAATTAATTTAGCCAGCAGCACTTGCTCCTTGTTGAAGGGCAGTTTCCCGAAGGTATTTTTTTACAAGAGCTTCATTCCCAGACCCAACAGGACTGCCAAAGCCACACCTGCTCTCTTCTCTTCACCAGTTTCAGGTCATGCAGCATGTGGCTTTCAGTGTGTATATTCAGAACGTGCAGGCCTGCAGAGGGACAGTGTAAAATTGTCACTGTGAAATTTTGTATGAAGGCTGCCTCACCCCCTTTTACATGCAATGTTGTTGCATCAACAGTTCGTTTGGGAAACTGCCACTGCCATGGGACAGCTGATAGCTAACCTGAGGAACTCCCACCTTATGTATTGCCGCTAGTAATAAAGGGGAAAGAGGGAAAATTACTGCTACAGTCGTACCTATGAGAGTAAACCAGAGACAGAGAGTTGGAGTGGCTGCTACCAACACCAGCATTTTGGCCTGTGGGATCTGTTCTCCCCCTCTGTGCAGGGAAAAGCTTAGGCTCAAACACCCCCCCTCCATATCAGTAAGGATTTTTTTTTTGTTTTTTTTTTTTAATGTACAGTAGACAGATTTGGAGTCACTGAAACACAGTGCTGCAGTACCTTTCTGTGGACCTCTATCCCAGAATAATACTGAGTAATACTAAAAAATCCTGTATAAACTGAGTTTTTCAAAACATCCTAAGGTATCACATGTAGTTCCTACAGCCCCAAGTTGAGGATGTACAGTGGAGCTGGAGTCTCTGATTCAGTGGTCTTGACATAAACTCCTCTGTGTGAGTAGATGGCGAGCAGCACAAGGGTGCACTTCTCTCTGCTTAGAAAAGCTGAGTTTCTCATCCATGGGGACAGATAAAGACTTCAGGGTAGGAAAATCAAAACTTCACCTCCCTCAAAGGAGTCTGAATTTCATGCACTCACCCTCCTTTCCTCCCAGCTCCTCACAGAAGATGTGCTCCTTCCAGCTTCCCAGCAAAAGCTGCTGAGGTGTTTATGCTCCAAGAGCCCTCTTTTCTTTGTGGAGAAGAGAGGAGCTCAGTGCTCAAATATTTCCCTCTCTCCTGCACACTCCTCTCCCCAGCTCAGAACCACTTCAGGTGTCCTTCAAACTCACCATCAGCAGTAGTGCTTTGGGAAGCTCTAGTCCAGTGTCCCCATTGCCTACGTATCCTGGTAGATCCTTGCATGAGGCAGGCAATGTGCTGGTCATTGCCTTTCTCTGGCAATGAATGGCCATGGGGCTGTTACTCCTCAAAACTGTGGCTAAGGTGAGGACAAGAGAGGCTTTTCCAAGCCCTGTGTGGGGTGACCACATTTCCTTCCCAGCCTGCAGCCTGGCTACAGCTGCTCTCCAAACCTGCTTTCCCAGTCCCCAACAGGGACTAGCACCCTGGTCCCTGTGCTGGGAAGCCTTCCTGAGCCTGATGGGGTGTGGGAAGAAAGCACCAAGTCCTCTGCATGGCCAGCCAGGAGCTTGCTGACGCTTCACTCTGGAAGCAAGGAGCTGCTACAGCTCCTCAGCTCACCTCAGGAGAAAGCCCAGGAGCCTGACAAGTTAGCAATTGCCAAAAAGACAACCCCAGACTGACTAGGAATACACATGCAACTGTAGCTAGCAAAGGTTTTCTAGCCCACAGCCCTATTTCTATGCTAGGCTGCCATAGCTCCCAGCTGGTCACCTGCAAAAAGCGTCCTGAAATTAGTATTTGTGTTATTTGCCAACCCAAAAGCCAGTGCACAAGCTGCAACAAGCAAATGGGCAAAGGGAGGGTTTATCTAGGCAAACATTTTGGCATACGAATAAAACAGCGTATCCTTGGAATTATTGTATTTTAATGTCTGAAGATGTACAGAAAAGCAGAAGTGTATGGGCCAAACTCATCCTGCCTGCTGATGGGTGGAGTTAGATTAAAGTGAAGGTGGTTTGATTCCTACACCCTCCCAAGAGCCCATCACTGCCCTGGGCTCGGAGGTCAGGTCAGTCTGGGAGTTCCTGGTGCTGGTGGGGTCTGTCTGAGGATGTGTCTGTTGTATCCATGTAGTACCTTGTGTGTCAGCTGGAAAGCTTTGTCATGTTCTCTGTAACCACGGCGCAGGCTCAGAAAAGATACCACTGCTGTGCAAGCCGGGGTGTTCTCCAGTGTTCCTTTTTACTAATTGACTTATAAGTAGATTAATATAAGTAGATAAATATTTTGTTGTGATATTAAAAAAAAGTCTGGGGAAAGTATAAAGCGAAGTGAACACACTGGCTAATCTGGTTTGTTTTATATGAAAAATGCACATTGACCTCACAGTGAATGAAATGAAAAACTAACTCACTTAAAAAACAAGAAACCAAAACAACCAAAACTTTATGCCATAAATGGAAGCAGCAAATTGTTGCTCAGACTCCTCTCATCCTAGCAAAATGATTAAGGGTACTATTTATGTCACAAAACTGACAAATTGAAAAAAATTACCAAAACCCCCCGCGTCCCCCTTTCAAAAATACCCTAATTTTGAAAAGCAAAATTCACCATACCAGTGCTGGGGAGTAAACTTCATAGTTATTTTAAGTTTTCTTTTACGTTTCATTTTTTCCATCTTTTTGCCATTACCTGCATTCCTTAGATTTCTTTTTTTCATATGTAAAATGAACTAGCAACGCCTCCATACCCTCTTCCTTTTTCTTTTATTTCTGTTCTGAAAGAACTTTAGAGTCTCAGTAATGTTTTCCCCATCAAATCATGGAAAACCCTTTTGTTATTTCTCTTCTTTAACACATAACATGTTCCTCCTTTGACCCTCATTTTCCCTTTTTTTCTCTCTCTCCCCCTTCTCCCTCCCACTCGTCTGTCCCCCTCGTCCACTGATCTAATCCTGAATCCTGCCCTTTCGTGGTTGCTGTCCTTCCCTCCCTCCCTCCTCCTCCTCCTCCTCCTCCTTCTCCCGGCCCCACCACCCTGGCTGAACCCTCCCAACCTGTTTGTTCCTCTTCCTCTCTTCGTTTGCAGCTTAGAGATGGCTAAAGTCAGCACCCAGACCGCTTCCGTCACGACCCCTGTTGACCTCAACATGAACCTCTCTCAGTCTGCCACCCCTACCTCCACCCCCACCTCCATGGCCGTGCTGGCGGCCGCCTCCGCCGCTACCGTCAGTACCCCCCCTCCCCTACCAACTCTGCCAACCACCCACTATGCCGTTCCTGTCTCCAGTCTGCTTGGCATGAAAACTGTCCCACTCCTGGCACTAAATGCCGCGGCCGCCGCGGGGGCCACGGGGAGTTTGTCCGCTTACACTGCCAAAATTCCTTCGACGAGCGGGGTTAAGAAATCTGACCGCCAGAAGTTTGCTCCATATTGAAGGGATGAGACACAATGCAAGCTTTGCCAGCTCTGCCAAGAGTCTGTGGTAGATCCTAGTTATCAAGGAAACAATACGGCATCTTTTATTTTCTGTTCGATTGCTAGTGTTAACTGTTGCCGACTCAAGTCGTCTTCCGCTCTCCATAACACCTAACACCAGGCACCACCTTACCAACTAGTTCCAACAGCCAGCAGGTGCCAGCCCGGGCTCCTGCTCCCCGGACACCGTCCCTCCGACGGGGCTGCGCCCAGGGCTGGCCCTCGGCAGCCCCACAGCGAGGCAGGGCTGCCCGCAGCCAGCAAGGGAGATAGAGCGAAGGGAAGGGAAAAAACGTCAATGAGGCAAAACGGTGACAGCCAGGTCCTGCTCCGGCAATGCTGCCTGGCATAAAAATACACTTAGATCCATTGCAGAACAATTCCTTATGGAAAACTGGCATCTCTGATGCATTTTTCTATTGCTAGAACATGCAAATCCGGCACTTCTGATGATCACTAGTGCCCCTGCAATGCCTTGTGAAGTGCTGCCGGTCCCCTAAGTCATTCTGCTGCTCCCAAAAGGCCTGGAGACCCCCATTCCCCATCCCAAAATCCGCCTACGAGCAGGAGATGGCGGTTAGGAGTTATCAACTTCAGGTACTTCTGCATACAACAAATGAAGCTTTCTGGTCTGAGAAAAACTGCTAAATTAAAATGACTGTAAAACAGTAAGGAAAAAATACCAGGTACCTGTGCCTTTCCACATGATTCTTTTAAAGGGTGCAACCATTTTTCTCCTCTTTGGAAAAACGTAATTTTAAGAACTCTGCTTTAGGGAGGGAGGGAGGGAAGGGGAGAGAGAGAGAGAGCAGGCTCCTCCTTTTGCACTCAGATGTTTTACATACACCGCCACAGTATTTATTCCAGAGCAAGTACAAGCCAGATGCCGTCACTATCTCATATTTCCTTTTGTGTATGTTTTATTCAGCCAAAATCACCATTTTTCGTTAGGTTTCTCTACAAAACTCATCCCTGTTTAACTCCCCACTAATCGTGCAGCGAGGCTGTATGGTAATCATGAAAAACATGTAGCATTTTAGAGGTCATTCAAAGGCTGCTGCCTGGACAAATCCCATCCCTTTACCAAGCACTTCAGGATGTTCAGATTAACTGAGACAGGTAACGGCAGCCAAAGCCAAGAGGGCTGGGGAATGGAGTGGCTGGTTGCCAGCTGTTGGAACTAGTTCTTAACTGCATTTTATGTTTGTCCATCCACCTTCTTTTTAATTTCTGTTGCATAACTCAGTAATGCAATATTGTTTTCCTCACCACTTCCAAATCCAGAATCCCATTAGCCCGCCATGTTCATCCACTCTGCACTCCTTGGACACAAAGCTTTAACAATTGAACTGTATTCAGTGCATTTTAATATAAACTAAAAACACAATGCAAATGCAATACTTTTTAAAACATGGTATTTCAAAGTGTGTTATTGTATAGGGCTAAGTACTATCTCAGTATTTTGTGTCATTTCTGTATTCTGTGGGCTTTTCTTCACCTTAGCACCTTTGCACTAAGTTTTGTCACTGTAACCATTTGTAGAACTGCCATTGTTACAATTTGCACTTATCCAAATGGGGTTTTTGGTTGGTTTTGTTGGGGTTCTTTTGGTTTTGTTAGTTTGGTTTTTTTGTTCATTTGTGACTTCCTTTTTTTTTTTTTTTTTTTCCTTCTTTTTTTTTCTGGTTGCATATAATGAAGGAAAAACTGGGAATAATGTCAAGGTACCACAGCTATTTAAAAGCTCTAGAAAACTGCTGTAAAATTGTTCTGGATTATTGTAACTGTTTCAATAATTGACATTTAAGACAAAAAAAAAAAAATTCCACCAACCTCTGTGTGAGAAAACTTGCCTGCACTGAAATGCTGTTCTATGCTGGTTGTACTCAAGTGGTATTTTTTTAATAGTGAGAAGATTTTTTTTTCTTTTTTTTTTTTTTTTTCCTTTTTTTTTTTTTTTTTTTTTTTCCTTTTTTTTTTTTTTTTTTTTTTTTCTTTTTTTTTTTTCCTTTTCTTTTCCTCGTTTTTGTTCCTACATTTTAGGCTGTCTTCAGAAGTTACTGGCCTGGGGGCTCTGTAATGTATCTCATCATGCCCTAGTGCATTAGCCACCAGACAGGACTTTTCCAAAGCCCCATGAGACAATGCTTTCTATGGACTAATCTACAGAGGAGTTTCTCCATTTCTAACTTTCTTATTATTCTGAGACATCAAAAGAAAACACTTCCTTTACTCTTTAAGCAACTGTGCTTCCTAACTCTTGTGTTGCTTTCATTACTGTTCCAGTTTTAACACTGTTGTGGCTCATAACATAAAGCAGAGACAAGTTATTTTCGGGGGTTGATTTTCATTGATGTTCATGCTTTGGCTAATCTGTATAAAAGCATGGGCCGTTAGTGTTCTAAACCACTGTATTCAGCTAGAGACTCGACAGTAAGTTAATGAGACGTTTTTATAAATAAATTTTTTTCCTGATTAAAAAACAAAAAAAAGATGTGGTAGCTTTGTGCATACAACTGTTGTGTTGTTTAAACTTTGTTATTTGTAACTGAGTTGCTAACTTGTCATTGAAGAAGCACTATTTTATGGATTGTCAAACTAAGATCACAGACAAATTGCTTGTTTTCAATTATGATTAAAGGTTTCATATCATCACGCTGAAGGTCCCAGTGCTCATTGGGAAACAGTGTAACATCCCTGCAAGACTGGCAACCTTAGTAAGGATGTTCGCCCATTGTCAGGCATGATGAGTCTCTTCAGGACTAGAGGGAGCCAGATTGTGCAGTTAGTACAGTCAGCAGCATTTCTTCAAAACTTGATTCAGCTTTTAACAAAGCTGCTCATTGAGAACTTCCCACACTGCATAGAAAAGACAAATTTGGCTTCATGTTACAAGCAGCCACTGATTTGTATCTCTGGTCTTTTCCCAGACTGAGCTATAGATCAGATACTGGGGAAAGGAAAATAGGAACAAAAGAATGAACTTGGATGCTGAGCACTGTATTACTAAGGCCCTTTGTAATACATTCCCAGCAGCACTTCCCAGTGGTGAGGCTTCCAGTCAGCACCTTCCACTCTGCCAGGAGCCAGCCCAGCAGCTGGGAGGAGCATGGCAATGTGCAGTAGGACAGGGAATGGAGAGCTGAGCAGCCCCAGGAGCTGTCTCCTGCTGCCCTGACACTCCACTCCAGCTGTTCAAACCCTCCCTTGGATCTGCAGAAGCTCTGCAGTCTTCACACACAAGCCAGAGGAAGGGGCTGGTCCCGAGCTGTTGCTGCATTACAGCACCCCTGGCTGTGCTCTGGCCACCTCTGCTCTTAGGGCCCTGGCAGTACTGTCACAGGTACTGCCCTGGCCCCATGAGAAAGCAGGTTTTCTGGCAGTGCAAGAGTGGCACTGTACAACCTCCATGCCCCTACTCTGTTAATGGTCTCTACCTGCCTTCAGGGATTGAGCTTGGGGTCCTGCTTCCCCTTCTTGCCCCTGCATATGGGGGCATCTGACAATTATTCCCCATGATCCCCGGGGTACAGACAGCTGTCAAGTCTGAGCCTGGAACCAGGGCATGACCAGGATGTGCATGCAGACTTGGAGACCTGTAGAAATCAACAGCTTTCTCAATACAGATGCAGCCACAGAACAACCCCTGAGGATGAAGGGTGCCAAGGGCACCCTTACAGAACAGCTCACTGCACCCCGGCACCAAGGAGGCATTACCCAATGGTGACAATTAGATACTGCAACCCTTAGAAAAACTATAGGCTGTAATACTAATTTGAGAAAATTCTCTGTTATTATTACCTACAATACATATTTATTACTTAAAATGTATTTAACTTCTCATTCCTGAAAGGAAAGCTGAAGCTGCTTTAACAGCAGAGACCTTCATAAGTCTTCATTTCTTCGACAGCAAAAGCTATTTCTATGGCTAGCCTGGATACTGTAAATGAAAAAAATATATATTATTGCAGCTCAACACTAAGTAGGTCAAAGCTTTGCTCTCCCAGTAAAGCTGCCAGTCAAAGGGCAGCAGCAGCTCTGGGGTGTCTAGTATCTTTCACATAAATAATTCACAAGAGGCTTGCAGAATTGAAAGATTTGAACAAACTAGTGAAGGGGCACGTCTGTGTGAGGAATGAGGAGAGGTTAAATAAAGACATATGGACTAAGAAGTTTTCTGAGAGTGTTTTTGCTAAAATACAGGCAGAAATGTGATAAAATCTAAGCTTATTTTCACTAGTTTACTATTATTTAATGTTACAGAAAATTATAATTATTTAATATTATAGAAAATATTTCTGAATGGCAAGAAAAAGCTTCTAATATCTTTAATATACAAAACAGACAAAGACAAGGTGGTAAAGAAAAAAGGGGGAAAAAAAAAGGATAAATAGTAACCAAGCCAGAAAAGTAAACCACTCATGCCCAAAGGTAGATAAGAGGCATGTACTTGCTCTGAAAAGGTCACTGCCCACACAAATGTGAGTTTCCAGATGAAAGACAGCAGAAATTCCGCAGCTTTTGCGTCATCATATTGGAATTAGGTTTCTGGAAACATCTCAAATGAATTCAAGCAGCTCTGTTGTGTTTCTCAAGTGAAAAAACATTGACGGCATGAATGCTGCCTGAAACCAGAAGGAAAATAAACAAAGTTAGTTCTCTGCTAATACACAGAGTGCTTTCTGTTCTCAGGCACAGCCAGAGGGCATCTGTGAGCCCAGGGTTCCCATTTGGGCCAGCCAAGCTCCTAGGAAGCAGCACAGTGTCAGTGGCGCCATGAACAGAGGCACCTGGGAAGTGCCTCAGCCTCAGCAGGCTGCACAGGCAAGGTGCTGTTTGTCAGGTTTCACAAGACAGACTGAAAATCCAATTTCTTCCACAGCCTTAACACCAGCTGAATGTATTTCAGCACTGTTTGTATTCTTGGGACAGGACCTTTTCCTTCTGAAGTGAGTGTCATGATTATCTAAAAGTCACAATGCTCACTGATCCAGTGGCTCAGCAGTGGCACAGCTTCCGCAGGAAAGACTCTCATTGTCAGGCTGCTCAACTGGGTGACACAAAGCGTGTGTTCAAAGGACAGCACTGAAAGGAGGGATTTCAACAGAGATCTCTTCTATCCCCTGTAACCTCTGCAGTCACCAGTGGTGCAAGGCATTAGTGCCTCCACTGTATTTTTGGAAGAAAGACCTGGTTTAGATGTCTACACAAAGGAACTGCTCGCATTTGTTTTCCCAGCTCTTGGGCCAGGATAATTTTAATGAACTGATGAACAGAAGATCAAATGAAGGCAAACACTGAAAAACTGCTTCATACATGAAATTTCCATCTCTTGGCCCAAGTAACACTTTCTAGGGATGTAAGTCCTTTCTAGGGATTGATAAAAAGTACGCACTGCCCTTCTTGGCACTGCAGTGTACTTAATTCCTTGGTTCCAGGAAGGAATGCAGTAATGTTGATTAAGTCAGTTTCTGCATCAATGCATGTGTCCTGCCCCCCTGCAGACTGGCATGTGTCTTATGACAGCAACTGAAATTAAAGAGTCAAAGCCATTTGATGGTACCTAACGAAAGAG